GGTTTAAGGCTTGGGTTTAGGTTTAGGGTTTAGGGTTTAGGGTTTAGGGTTTAGGGTTTAGGGTTTAGGGTTTAGGGTTTAGGGCTTACAGTAGTTGTTTTAGTAGTTGTTTGCGGCCTGCATGCTTTGCCCCGGCCCCCCTGCCCCCTGCCCCGCACGGAATGGCGGCCGTAACAAGTCGTACTGCTGAGGTTTGGTGGCTCTTTGTGACCAAGTGTCGGCCGCAACAAATCGCACTGCCGAGTTTAGGTGGCTATGTAATCCCTAAGCCCTGAACCCTAAAACCCTAAACAATGAACTCTAAACCCTAAACCTTAAACCCTTATTCTTCTGACCAAACGCCGGGCCGGGTCTTGGTGGCTCCTTTTGACCAAAGGCTGCAACAGATCGTGCTGTCGGGTCTTGGTGGTTCCTTCTGACAGAATGTGGGACTTTCCGAAAATAGGGGGTACCTTATTTTGGGGTCCTTATAATAAGGATCCTATTATATAGGGTACTATATTAGGGTCCCCTATTTTAGGAAACCCCCATGTTGGCCGCAAGGAATCGTGTTGCCGAGTCTTTGTAGCTCTTTCTCGACCGCAACCAATCGTTCTGTCGGTTCTTGGTGGCTCTTTCTGACCAAGTGTCGGCCGTAACAAATCGCACTGCTGGGTTTTGGGTGCTTCTTCTGACCACATGTCGTCCGTAACGAATGCAACCGGGTCTCGGTGCTTGACTTGCAAGTATGCCGGCGTGCTACGAAGTACGATTTGTTGCCGGCATCGGAACCTTCTACTGGGCCCCGGTGCTCAAAAGTACGATTTGTTGCCGGTGTCTGGGGTTTTCAGTGGGTCGCAGTGTCAAGAAGTACGATTTGTTACGAATGCCTTGGGCTCGAAACGGAGCCCCGGTGCTTAAAGAACACGATTTGTTGTCGGTGCTCCAGATGTATGTGCACCGATGCTAAGATGTACGATTTGGTGCCGACGTCGGCTTCCAGTGGGACCTAGTGCTAAGAAGCACGATTTGTTGCCGGTGTCTTGGAATTGAGATGCAGTGCGAAGATGTACGATTTGTTGGCAGTGTTTTGGGGTTGACATGGAGCGCCAGTGCGAAGAAGTACGATTTGTTGCCGGTGTCTTGGGCTCCATGTGGGCCCAATGCTAAGAAGTACGATTTGTTTACGGTGTCTGAAATTCTGTAACCCTAAACCCTAAACCCTAAACCCTAAACCTTAAACCCCAAAACCCCTGAACCCAAAACCCCTGAACCCCTAAAATGGAGCTTGGGCTCTGCCTTGAAGATTACACGAGCCCATTGGTTCGATTTCAGCAGAATGCCCTGGACAACCGGTTTGGAGATAAACAATTACTGTTTTTTTGCTTTAGGGTTTAGGGTTTAGGGTGTAGGGTTTAGGGTTTAGGGTGGAAGGTGTAGGATTTAGGATGATTTCGGGGGTGTGCTTCATGTAGGGGACTTAACAATGAAAATGGCGTCCCACGCGGCTTTTGTAAGAGCTTGTGTGGGGTCTCAGCCTTTGCACCGGCGAGGACCCCTTCACCGGCGAAGAGTTCGATGACGTCTTTGTCAACGAGACCTGGACTGACCCAGACGAGGAGGGCAGGAGCATTTGCCAAGAAGAGGGAGATGGCAACTTCACTGCTTCTACTGAGCTGGTCCAGACTGCTCAAAAGCTGCTGGACTCGGAGTATGGGGCATTGGTGTCCACCGCCATAGCTGCGTACGTCAGCCTGGCGGAATACTTCGGCCAGCAGCTTTACCACTTGGAGGCCAAAGTCGGCTCGCCGGAACCGATCGAAGATCCTGGTGGACAGGTCCTTGTGGACCTTTCAGAGGAGTGGAACGTGGAGCTGAACAGACTGCTGACGGCTCAGGGTGGAGCTGCCTGCCAGAACACCCCGGAGATGCTGCTGTTTTGCATGAAGCAGACGACATGCCTCCTCGAGGATGCAGTGGCCTCCGACCCGCAGGTGTTCACAGCCGGCCGCATGGCCACCTACCTAGAAGTGGAGAAGGAAGTGCATGACCACTACGAAGAGTTTGCCATCCTGGCAAAGCTGGGCCTTCCCCACATGCCGCCGCTTTGCAGTGGCGAGCAGGAGATTGAACGGGAGGGGGCTCCGACCCCAGGCGCGCTGTTACAGCTCAAAGCCGAGGTGGAGGAGAAGGGTTCGGCGAAAGTAGTAACAATATCCCCTCATATCCTTTATACAACTGCTTGTTTAAAACCTACCCCAAAGCCTTATTCCGAGTATGAGGAAGCTTCTGGGACTTCGGCACGCCGTAGCGAGGCTGTGGCGGCTGTGGTGCAGTTGCACCGAGCAGCACAACGCACGGAGCTGGCATTGAAGGACCACCTAAACCCTAAACCCTA